TATGTGTAATGGGAGTCCAAAGAGAGGGACAGAAAAAATAATGCCAAAAAACTTCCAAATTTGATGAAAACCACTGATCTATAAATCTAAGCTCAACCAACTTCAAGAACAAATACAAAGAGATTCCCATATACACATATCAAACTGTTGACACACAGAAACTGCTGAATGTCAAAAGCAAACAAATTTGAAAGCAGCAAGAGAAAAATGACTCCTCACTACAGGGGACCACCAGTACAATTAATGGCTGACTTCTCAACTGGAACAGTGGAGTCCAGAATGCAGTGGAATGACATGGTCAAAGTACTTCAAAACCAGACGTTAAATTATCACCCAGAATTATCCTTCAAAAGCAAAGGTGAAATAAAGACTAGGGAATTCATTGCTAGCAAGCCTGCCTTGTGAGAAATAATGAAGTCCTTTATGCTGAAATTACACCAGAATCCATGGGAAGAAAGAAAGATCAGAAATAGTAAATACATGATTAATAAGGAAAACGCTGTATTTTTTCATTTATTCTCTTAAAAGACGTAAGATTGGCTGTAATCCCAGCACTTTGGGAGGCCAAGGCAGGTGGATCACGAGGTCAAGAGATGGAGACCACCCTGGCCGACATGGTGAAACCCCGTTTCTACTAAAAATACAAAAATCAGGCTGGGCGCGGTGGCTCATGCCTGTAATCCCAGCACTTTGGGAGACCGAGGTGGCAGATCATGAGGTCAGGAATTTGAGACCAGTCAGACCAACATGATGAAACCCCTTCTCTACTAAAAATATAAAAATCAGTCAGGCATAGTGGCATGCACCTGTAATTCCAGCTACTTAGGAGGCTGGGGCAGGACAATCACTTGAACCCGGGAGGCAGAGGTTGCAGTGAGCCAAAATCGTGCCATTGCACTCCAGCCTAGGCAACAGAGCGAGACTCCGTCTAAAAAAGAAAACAAAAAGATGTACAACTGCAGAAAGCAATAATTATAACACTGTATCATTGAGCTTAGAATACATAAATATAGCATAAAGGAGGGAAGAGGAAAAGAAAATAGCATTGGAGTATAATTTCTGTATTTTATCAGAGTGTTAATCAGAATTAGATTGTAGATTGTGACAAGATTCAACCACTAATAACTAAAAATCTAGCTTAAAAAAATGAAGAGGAACTAAGATAACACACTTATCTTTAATAAATTTTTTGTACTAAACAAAATATTTAGTACAAAAGGTAGTAAGGGAGGAAGAAAAAAAAGACATATAGAAAACCGGCTGGGTGCAGTGGCTCATGCCTGTAATCCTAGCACTTTGGGAGGCAGAAGAGGGCTGATCACCAGGTCAGTAAATCAAGACCATCCTGGCCAACATGGTGAAACCCAGTCTGTACTAAAAAACTTCAAAAATTAGCTGGGTGTGGTGGCATGTGCCTGTAGTCCCAGCTACTCAGGAGGCTGAGGCAGGAGAATCACTTGAGCCCAGGAGGCGGAGGTTGCAGTGAGCTGAGATTGCGCCACTGCACTCCAGCCTGGAGACAGAGCAAGACTCTGTCTCAAAAAAAACCAAATGGCAAATGTAAACCCAACCATGTCAATAATCTATTAACTAACTGTGGATGGTTTAAATACTCTAAAAGTTAAAACAAAATAAATGAATAAATACTCCAAAAGGTGGTTTATCAGAATTAAAAGATAAGATCTAGCCAGGTGCAGTGGCTCACGCCTGTGGTCCCAACAACATGAGAGGCTGAGGCAAGAGGACCGTTTAAGCCGAGGAGTTCAAGGCTACAGTGAGCTACGACTGCATCACTGCACTCCAGCAGCCTGGGCAACAGAGGAAGACCCTGTCTCAAAAAAATGAAGCAGCAGCAAGATCCAACAACTATATGCTATCTACAGAGCATATATAAGTGTGTCTTAGATTCCAAGCATGTGTATCTTAGATTCCAAGACACAAATAAATTGAAAGTAAATCAATGGAAAAGATATACCATGCAAATGGTAACCATAGGAAAGCTGGAGTGGCTATATCCATGTAAGACAAAATAGATATTAGGACAATAAATATTGCTAGAGACAAAGATCCTTCATAATGATAAAACACAACAAGATAGAACAATTATAATTTTATGTTTGCATCTAATAATAGAGACTCAGATGCTCTGAAGCAATCATTGTAGTCAGAGGCCATAACTGGAGTTACCCTAATGCTTGGCATAACCCAAGAGCTCTGGTAAATACTTCAAAATTCCTGAACAGAATGTTAACTTTTTTTTAAAGATGAGTATTTCCTTGAGCACAGTGACCTCTACTGGTACTAATATAAATTAAAATGCAGTTTCTGGGGTTTTTTTTCCCACAGTTTCCTTTCCAACATGGGATCATTTGTTTAGAGACGATGAGAAACCTAGAGGACACATAGTAGAATCCCCCTTTTGCTTCACATGAGTGCTACTACTTCCTTATTATAATAGAATAAACGAATCTTCCCAATAACTAGTGAACAGAGTGCAGAGCAGTGATTTTCAATCCTGGTTGCATATTAGAAGAACCAGAGGAGAGCCAAGGCACTGTGGCTCACACCTATAAACCTAGCACTTTGGGAGGCAAAGGCAGGTGGAATGCTTGAGCCCAAGAGTCCAAGACCCGCCCAAACAATATGGCGAAACCCCATCTTTAAGAAAATACAAAAATTAGCTGGGCTTGGTGGCATGTGCCTGTAGGCCGAGCTCTACTCAGGAGGCTGGGGCAGGAAGATCACTTGAGCCCAGGGAGTTCAAGGCAGTGATCATGCCACTGCATTCCAGCCTGGTGACAGAGACGCAGTCTCAGAAAAGAGAGAAAAAAAAATCACCAGGGGAAATGTTTAGATTAATACCCAGGCTTCACCTCAGTGATTCTTTCATTCAAATGTTTTTAAGCACCCTGGGTGATTCTAGTCTGCAACTAGCAATCAAAACCACTATCCTAGAGTGAAAAAAAAGCCTTCCCTACTATGCTCTCACTCACCAATTTTATGGTAAGTGCATTGTGTTTCGCTGGAATTTGCCCCCAGCTTCACAAAACACTTCAAGGAATGACTCCTGGAGAAGTCAGTCTTCCCAGACCAAAAGTCTATCTTAAGGCCCTGGCAACCCTACAAATAATCTTGGTACCCAAGATCTCCAGAGATAATTGTTCTGAAAGTTGTGAAGTTGAAGACAAATGTCTAAACCAGGGGCTGGCAAATATTTTCTGTAAAATGAAGAAGGTAGGTTTTAGGCTTTGTGGGATACTTTGTCACAATTACTCAGCTCTACTACTGTAGCACAAAAACAGTCACAGATGATAAGTAAACAAGTCATGGCTGTTTCCATAAAACTTTATGGACACTACTACTTGAATTTCACACAATTTACATGTCATAAATTGCTACAATTTTTTTTTCCAACCACTTCAAAATGCAAGACCTGGCCAGGCATGATGGCTCATGCCTATAACCCCAGCACTTTGGGAGGCCAAAATGGGAGAAACACTTAAGCTCAGGAGTCCCAAGAGCAGCCTGGGCAACATGGTGAGATCTCTACAAAAAAACTTTAAAATGAGCCAGGCATACTGGTGCCTGTCTGTAGTCCCAGCAACTTGGGAGACTGAGGTGGGAGAATCACTCAAGCCCAACCCGCAAGAGTGAGAACCTGTCTCAAAATAGCAGGGCGCAGTGGCTCACACCTGTAACCCCAGCACTTTGGAAGGCCGAGGCAGGTGGATCACCTGAGGTCAGGAGTTTAAGACCAGCCTGCCCAACATAGTGAAACCTCATCTCTACTAAAAATACAAAAATTAGCCAGGTGTGGTGGTGGGCACCTATAATCCCAGCTACTCAGGAGGCTGAGGCAGAACTGCCTGAACATGGGAGGCAGAGGTTAGGTTGCAGTGAGCTGAGATTGCACCATTGCATTCCAGCCTGGGTGCCAAGAGCGAAATCCCATCTCAAAAAAAAAAAAAAAAAAAAAAATCCATGCTGAGGCCAGGCACGGTGGCTCATGCCTGTAATCCCAGCACTTTGGGAGGCTGAGGCAGGGAGATCACCTGAGATCCAAGGTCAGGAGTTCGAGACCAGCCTGGCCAACATGACAAAACCCCGTCTCTACTAAAAGTACAATAATCAGCCAGGCGTGTTCAACCTGAGATTGGCAAAAATCAAGTTTGATAGCCTGGCATGTACGAATTGATAGAAAAACAGGTACTCCTATACACACTGCCATGAAGGCAACCCAATACCTAGCAAAAATTAATGCACATACCTTTTGACTTAATTTCTGGGGATGATCTAGATAAGCATGGTCACCTGTGCAATGATGTACTATAGTTATTCACCGCTACTAATTTTTCTTTCTTGAGACAGGGTCTCACTCTGTCACCCAGGCTGGAGCGCAGTGGTATGATCTCGGCTCACTGCAACTTCCACCTTCCGGATTCAAGCGATTCTCCTGCCTCAGCCTCCTGAGCAGCTGGGACTACAGGCACTTGCCACCACACCCAGCTAATTTTTGTTATTTGTAGTACAGATGGGGGTCAAGACAAGAGTGTTGACCTGATGATCCACCCGCCTCGACCTCCCAAAGTGCAGGGAACACAGGTGTGAGCCACCACACCTGGCCAAAAAAATTCAAAAATTGACTGATTTTAGAAGGAATGAGTCTGGACCAGCACTTTTCAAATCAGTAACAACCAATTTGGTAGTTCCAATCACAGAAAACAAGTGAGGGATACACCAAAGCTTATTTTGAGATGTATCCAGCAACAGCACGGGTGCCAAGTTGCACGTGATGGGTATTGGCCCAGACAGCCCTTTACCCCACAACGGTAGAATTTACTTGTTTAAAAACGATTTTTGCCCCTACCCCTCCTCCATACCCTTTGTATCCTTTCATTACTCATTTCTAGGACGCTGCTAGCTGCCCAACCTAAAGCTACAGAATTAATGCCTCCTACTTTTGGCTGAGAGCTCCCACTTCCAAAAATTAAGTATCAGGATTATTTGTTCAATCTCTGCAGATTTATTGTTGAGTAAACTTATCTTTATGTAATACAGAACAATTAAAGCTAACCAAGTGCAACAGATAAATAAGCCTGCCAATTATACATATAACTTTACACCAACCATAATTCAGCCAGTTGTCAAAATTCCAAAAATCAATCCAAATAACTTCCAAAATACTAGCAATCACTCAAACTACCAAATAAACTTGATGCAGACCAGTATTCCCAAGTTGCAATGGTATCCAATGACTTTACTGAAAAGCATAAAATGGACAAGGCTAGTTATCTGTGCCACCAGCAGGTTTTTTTTTTTGTACCAAGGCTAGAGAATGCCTGGTAAAAGCTTGACCAGAAAACTCTCATAATTAACTGTTACTGCCCTACTGTTCTTAGAATATTTAAAATTTGAATAAAGAACCTACTGGCTATAACATTCCAAGGTTTACCAGATGCTACCAAAAAAAATTAGCTACATGGAGTGTTGCTAAATATAGGTGAGATTTACAAAACCACTTTAGTCTTATTAACATTTCCGATTGACATCTTTAATTACTTTGCACCAGCCTGGCAAAATAGAAGAATGTTGGTGGTTGGTAACTGCAAAACCTAGCTTGAAGATTAACAGGTCATTGCTCAGAATAAGACAATCCATTTGAATAGAGGAAGAGTATATGGACTGGAAAATTTTGCAAAGCTGGTTTACATGAAGGTGTTTTGTCCCAAATTCAGACAATTCCTCAAACATGCATTTTTTGGTTTAAAACTGGTTAACTAACGTAGAAAGCAAAGAAACAGAAGACCATCGAGAACTCCCCACATCTTGGAAAGTTCTAATTGACACGCCACCTAGTAGTAGCCTGAAAGCTGCAATTAGTATAAAGGTCAACCAGAAAACAGTCTCTCCCTATTTCTCATACAGTTAATCAGTTCTGCTTAGTTCCTGTCATGCTCATTTATAGACAAATCAGGGGTCCCACTAGCTTGACCACTGATCATTAGTAGTTTGACAATACCTACTAACGCAAACTTCAAATAGTTTAACTTAGGGATCTGTCATGATGTATTCATGCTGTATTATAGGGGACTCAAGGTCATCTTACCCAAAGCTACAAGGGTAAAATGGAATTTTCAAAGTCCCTTAAGATCCTGGCCAAGTTTTATGTATAGAACAATTAGTGATGTTCAAGACTTAACCAACATCTTTCAATTCTGAATGTAGGTCTGTATGAATATGGTTAACAATTATGACGTCTGACTGGAATTTACCAAATTGAAAAGTGTTAATATTGAACACAAATCAAAAATCTAGTTAGAAACATTTTATTTAAATGTGCCAAATAAAAACCCATATTTTCAGACCATAGGATGTTAATACATTCAACAAAAATTTATATTATCTTACTGTTTTGAATTTACATAGTAGTAGTAATCCAGATCCATTTTGATTAGATGTTTGAATTATCTTTCCTAGGTTACACTTTACAGACATCACAAATCCCTTATAATAATGTAAACAAAATAACTTTTCCCTAAAGGGTGAACTTGAGAGCTTCAGTCCATTCTTTCAGGACTTGCACTTCTGCGAGGACTTCCTGATGGGGAACGACTAAAAAGAAAAACATTAGGTTTGGATCCAATTAGTGTTGATTGAAACTCTCATGTACATACACTAACTTTCAATAAATTCAAAGATGGCCTAAGGTACTGATTTCCAATAGCAAAGACCTAAAAATGACATGAGACTTACATATTTATCTTTTAGCTTAAGATTAGGCTACCCTGGCCAGGTGTGGTGGCTCACATCTGTAATCCCAACACTTTGGGAGGCCGAGGCAGCAGGTGGATCACCTGAGGTCAAGAGATTGAGACTAGCCTAGGCAACATGGTGCAACTCAAGTCTCTAATAAAAATACAAAAAATTAGCTGGGTGTGTGGCAGGAGCCTATAATACCAGCTACTCAGGAGGCTGAGGCAGGAGAATCACTTGAACCCAGGAGGTAGAAGCTGCAGGAAGCTGAGACCGTTCCACAGCACTCCAGTCTGGGCAACAGAGCGAGACTGTCTCAAAAAATAAATAAATAAATAAGCCAGGCATGTTGTTGGGCACCCATAATCCCAGCTACTCAGGAGGCTGAGGCAGTAGAATCGCTTCAACTAGTAAACCAAGATTCTACCACTGCACTCCAGCCTGGGCGACAGATCAAAACTCCCTCAAAAAAAAAAAGAAAAAAAAGAAAAAAAAAGAAAAGGAAAAGGGAAAGCAAAGAAAGAAAATTAGGCGATCCTTGTCAAAACTGCCACGTCAACCTGCAGTTAAATATGACAACTATTTGAAGTTTTCTGGTCATTAAGTAGCACTAGTCAGATAGCTATTTACAAGACTTCTCTCCTCACTTTGTATCTATTGTACATGTGGGGAAAACGCATGTTTCTGATCAAAATTTCTACCAAGTACTCACAGGACCAATCACATCTTAATAATCACCCTAACATTTTATGAATCAAGAAAAGCAATCAGTTCAGAAACTTAGCATAGTATTTTAATCTATATAGCACCAATTCTCCAAAGAGCTCAAAGACTGCAAAGCAATAAGCAAACAAATTCTGCAGAGGCCACACTTGACAGGCAAGATTGGCAACAAAACATTTAGCTTACCTTCTTTTTGGAGATGGAGATCTGGACTTTGATCGGCTGTCAAAACATGAGAAATTCTATTAAGAAAGAATACTAACCAATCCCTTTCTTGTAGTCACAATACCATAAAACAACCCCCAAATGTGCTAAGCTTAAAATGTCACACTGCACTTCAACTGAAGAACATCCTACCAGTTGCTGCTAACAAAGGCCAATCTTCCAACAACTGTTTTTCAAAAAAAATGAGTGAATAACTATATTTTATCATGATTAATCTTTTACATTCTGCTTTTAGCACATTAATTTCAGGATGCTTCTCCATGCAGCTATCAGTTCTAACAAGGGCCTCTTTAATATAATCCCCAAAGTCACAAACTTATTTCTCACTACAGTTTTACATTCCCTTGTTCAGGGAAAGTCAACCAGTAATAAGTAGGACATACATAAATAAGGTACTGTGTTTCCACTAACACCTAAGTTTAGAGTTATCACTTAAAATTTCAACAATTAAAAACACTTTGAACTCTTTGGATATTGGTGCCATATAACTAGAAGAGCATAATCAGATTTTTATCCTACCTGCTTCTTGGTCGTGAAATAGACCTGGATCTTGATCTTGACCTCGATGGGGATCTAGGTGAAAAACACAATTATACCAATTAGTCCACAGGATATTTCCTTGAACTACAAAACACTGTATTAGGTTAGGTGTAGAGAAGCTAAACCTAAGGAAGATGCAACACTTGCCTTATTCTAACACTTTCAAAAAACAGTTATCAAATACAAGGAAACACCATCTCAATTACTTGTTTCTATCACTCAATTGGTTAGTTTCTGAGACTAATTCAGGTGATTAAAGCTAGATGAAAAGAAATCCACCACTTAGTAAGGCTTTAATCTTGGATCATCAAATGTTTGAGAGCCATCAATTTGCCAGACAAACCAAAATCAGACTGACATTTTTTTTTTTTTTTTAAAGATTTGAGGTCCTGGAATCAAATTAAATACTTTTTATCTAAAGAGATGGTCCATGGCTTTCTCAAGTAGACCACACGATTCAGAATTCCTGCATTTAAAGGTTTTGTGCTATTAAACACCAATTAACTCCCAGCAGCATTCTGTACCACTATCATTGCAAATATTAATTACACATTGCAATACTGTTTTTATAATTTTCTTCATTCTATCTCCTTTTAAGGCCTTCTACAAAGAGTAAAGCTCTGGTTCTTAGCTTTTTCAGGTCTGAAACCATATAAACAAAACCCACATTCATCTGTACGTACACACTACTGCCCCAGTCAACTTTCCAGTGTCTCAAATCAACCCCATCATTCCAAAAATGAGCAATGTTTTCTACTTGCTTCTACTCTCTTTTCCTGGTTCTAATGGGCCTTTTTGTCAGGAAAATCAATTACCATCTTTCAGAACTAGTATCATATAATCTGAAGCCAGATTTTTTTTTTTTTTTTTTTTTTTTTTTGGGTTTTTTTTTTTTTTTTTTTTTTGAGATGGAGTCTTGCTCTATCTCCAGGCTGGAGTGCAGTGGCACAGTCTCGGCTCACTGCAACCTCTGCCTCCCGGGTTCAAGCAATTCTTCTGCCTCAGCCTCCCGAGTAGCTGGGACCACAGGCACGTGCCACCACGCCCGGCATATCTTTTTGTATTTTTAGTAGAGACGGGGTTTCACCATGTTGGCCAGGATGGTCTCAATCTCTTGACCTCGTGATCTGCCTGCCTCGGCCTCCCAAAGTGCTGAGATTACAGGCATGAGCCACCGTGCCCGGCCAAAGCCAGAAATATTTACAACAACATGCTCACCCATAGTCTTCACTAGAATTGTGGCGCTTTAGATCCTTCTCTACCACCATGGCCTCTAACAAGCCTTAAAATCTCTAGTAGCCCTTTTCTTCACCTGTAAAACTAGATTAATATGGCCGGGCACGATGGCTCATGCCTGTAATCCCAGCACTTTGGGAGGCCGAGGCAGATGGATCACAAAGTGAAGAAATCAAGACGATCCTGGTCCACATGGTGAAACCCTAAACAAAAATTCGCTGGGCATGGTGGCCCATGCCTGTAATCCCAGCTACTCAGGAAGCTGAGGCAGGAGAATCACTTGAACCTGGGAGGCAGAGGTTGCAGTTATCACGCCACTGCATTCCAGCCTGGTGACAGAGTGAAACTGTCTCAAAAAAACAAAAACCTAGATTAAAATTTATGGTATAAGTTGCACATAACATAAATTTTAATCTTGGTTCTTTAACTTTTACATCTCAATATTCCCTGAAGCAATCAATATGAACTATGTCCTTAAGACACACTACTGCAGTTAAAATGTGAACAATCCAAACATAAACAAGAAAAAAGTGTTACATACTGGAAATACCTCGATCCTTTTATAGAACCAGACCTAGATCTTCTGAGGGAAGCTGATCTTGATCTACGAAGAGAGATAGATCTTGATCGTCGAGGAGATGCTGACCTTGACCTAAAAATTAAAGAACAGTTTTTTGTTTTTTTTGCCACTTAAGACTTCAATTAGGGAACAGTGCAGTGTTCATGCTTATAATCCCAGCACTTTGGGAAATCATGAGCCCAAGAGCTTGAGACCAGCCTGGGAAACAGTACAAGTCCATTTCTACAAAAATAAAATTAGCTGGGTATGGTGAAAGTGCCTACAGTCCCACCTACTCAGGAGGCTGAGGCAGGAGGACTGCTTAGGCCCAAGAGGGCAAGGCTGCAGTGAGTCGTGGTTATGCCACTGTACTCTAGCCTGGTTGACTGAACAAGACACTGTTTCCAAAAAAATGAGTTTTTTCTGTGTTGGGCTATCAGTGAATTTAAAAACAATACATTAAGACTTTAATTAAAAAAGATCTCACCTCCGTCCCCTGCTCCTGCTGCGTGAGCGAGAGTATCGCCTTCCTCTGGATCGAGAATGTGATCTAGACCGTGACCTATTTTTTAAGTTAGAGAAAAAACAAAATGTCAGACAACAACTCATTTTAAAGAGTTTGTGTGCCTCTGCTGAAATCAAATCTCAAAACTATTTAAATTTAGTGTCTCATTTGGAAATAAACTCTGGGCCTATTAGTTGTCGAGTTTTTTTTTTTTTTTTTTTTTTTTACTACCTAAAAAAAGATTTGTTAAAAGCTGAATTACAACTTAGAATTACATAATATAAAACACTATAATGTGTATTTAAAATAAACCTTGCAAGTTTGCAGGTCGACCCTCTTTGGCCCATGGTCTAGTAGATCTAGACGATCTAGAAGTATCTATAGCCGATCGCTGCATCTAGATGTTTTCTTCAATCTAACGACGATCAAACTGACAGCCAAATGAGCCAGGTGAGGCTTGATTGACGCAAGAAGATTTTTCTAGTTGGGAATGTGGTCAATCTGGTGTTCCTCTTTCTAAACCGGAGGGGGGCCCCCAATTGTAAGCCAAATTTACTGTTACGGCGATCACCGTCTCAAATTTTCTGCCCTTTAAAGAATAAGGTGAAGCTAGGTGTAGATGACTCGAGGGGATCTGGCCTCTTATGCTGATCACCTCAAGGTCTAGGAGGATCTTAATTGTCGGATTTGCAAGGCGCCTCAGCATGATATCATAAGGCTCGTGACATTCTGAATCAAGGCGACTGACTCAAACGAAGAAACCTGAAAGGTTTTGACCAGGTTGATTATTAATATAGTAACATTTTTTTAATTAAACAAAAATTGTAAAAATACACCTGTACAATTAACATTCAAGTTTATAGAAAAACACTAGTTTCTGCCTTGCTAATAAAAAAATTACTTGATTAACTAGAATACCAACCATTCCTTTATTAAAATAAATACCTGCTTCTTCTTCGCCGGCTGTAACGATGACAATCATAAGCATAATGTCCCTTTTCGCCACACTCATAGCATCTATCATTTGGATCAAAGGGA